CGGATAATAAATAATTTCACAAGTTTTGTCTGTTTCGTTGTTAACAATTAGCCAAGTATGCCCGATTTTGCTTGCTGGCCAGACATTGGCAGTCATGGGTTCTTATATAACAATCTAAGTACTAGCGTTAACCGGTGGGTAACATGAACATTTCGCATGAAAATAGGCAAATGTGCAGGTCCCAGAATGGTTGAGTTGTGAGTCCGCTCCCAAGTACGAGGCATTGAGCTGAGGCAGATGCAAAGAAAAGTCTACAGGGGACCAAAAATGATGTCCTAGCAGCGCAGGTCCAGATGTCAAACGTATATGCAGTGAGCATGAGTAAGGCAATTTCAGTTGGCTGAGTGTCCTGGGCAGGAGAAACCGCACTGGAGCTGGAGTCCAAGGACTGACTCAGGAGTTCTTCCTTGTGGGTAAGTCTCCTGACAGTTGCCTGCCACACTCTGTCTTGGGGGTGGGCCTTCTATGGTCTCAGGTGAGAGGGTTGCGACAAACTGATTTGTGCGGTGATCTAATATGATTTGGTCTATTTTCAGGTGTCCTCGTTGCCTGGTGTTCTGGCAGATACCGATTGTTTACTTGTGTAAACAAGCCAGACTGCCTTTTTTTTGGTGGTGGTGGTAGTGGTGGTGGGGAGCTCTTGTACTTCAACTTGGAATCACTCTGGTCAAGGTTGTTCCTTAGTAAAATGGAGTCATTGTAGGCTTGACACTGTTGGAAAGCAAATATCCCTCACGGTGTAGAGTATCACTGTACAAGCTGCCATGTTTTTCCCGCTGTGTCTTCTTCTCGGTGGCACCTGCTTTTCTTATGAGTCTCACAGATTCAAGGGAAGCTTCCTCTAAATTCCATGACCTGTGCCCATAAGTCAGTGAGTCTTAGCGCTAGTAATAAACCCTGAATTTTTACCTTCTGATACTCGTTGGAAAGGGGGATCCACATACATGGATGACTGGAGTTGGACTCTGTCATAATTGCTAGTGCCCTCAGATATTTCTGGACATAAATTTTATTTACGTATTATTGTGTATGTGCAGTGTGTGTGTGTGTGATATCCTGCATGCTACAACTTGCATTTTGGAGGTCAGAGAACAACTTCATGAAATACTTTATTTGGGTTCCCAGGATTGAACTCAGGTCACCAGGCTCGGGCAGCAGGTACCTTTACCTGCCACGCCACCTTTCCAGTGTCTACACATTATTTTAAAAGACAGAGTCCTGATAGAGGTTGGCTTTACTATGTGAGAGTGCAGTATTACATTAGGAGAAAACCCTAAGTTCCCCATGGTTACCCTGAACAGGGCTTTTCTAACTCTTAGTGAGGACAGGCATAAGCATCTATATACAGAAGTTAACAGAAGGCTCTAGAGCCCCATGTGGTGATGTAAGGTGGCACAGTCAGTTCTTTTTAGAGCTGTCAATTCCTTTCCTTATATATGCTGGCTGCTTTGTCTAGACCATTTACCAGCTTCTGGCATCCATCTAGAATATACATTCATTAGTCACTTGGGCCAGAGGGGAAGGCTGCTGCCAATGAATGCCAATGGGCCTGGACCTAAGCCTGCTCACCCCACTCATCTTGCCAATCTGAGTGGCTGCTGCAGGAATGTAATGTTAGGATTAGGAAGTAACGTCTCCAGCAGCCTTCCTCTCTCACAGATACTGACATCCACCTTACTAAGACCTTGTTGAATCAATAGCTAACAGACCTTGCAGGATTTCTCACCTGGAGAAGTGTGCTTGAACAAAGTGAGTACTAGTGGCCACACATCCTGCTCACCACCCCCCCTCACTGGCCCACAGGCTCTCCTGTCTGCTAATCTGAGAGCCTGCAGCCTGGCTCCTGCTTTGAAACCAATTCCATCCCCAGAAAACTGTAAGATCACCTCCTCCAGGCAGGTCCACAGTCCTCTCCTTAGAGCTGAGGCCATGCTGTTGCCTCTGTTTGTCTGCTCCAGACAGCATTATGGGAACTCGCCCAACAGGAAACTTTTGGCAACCTTACAAAATAAGAACTGAGATAATGATCAGCTAGGAAACAGACCAGACAGATAACCACCCTGGCTAGGACCGTTTTGTATACCACTTGCGTTTTGTCTTAATCATTTCTCGTTTTAAATTATTAGAAATTATTTAAATAGAAGTATGGGCCAGATGTCCAAAGCTAGATCTGGAATCATCAAACCCTTTAATTTGTTCCCCCTGACAGAGCCAGATTGATTTATAGAACTGTTGTTTGTTCATTCTCGTCACTGTGTCTCTAATTGGCATATTGGGACTGCTGGCCAAATTTAATCTGTCATGATTACCATAAGTTAGAATGCTGAGTTTTAAATTATTTTAGTCACGTTATGAACCAGGAAATAATTTGTACTAATTTAACTGTCTTAATTTCTTTTGTTATAATTTATTTGTATTTTATGTGCATTGGTGTTTTGTTGGCATGCATGTCTGAGGGTGCTGGATCCCCTGGAACAGGAGTTACAGTTGTGAGCTGCCATATGGGTGCTGGGAATTGAACCCAGGTCCTCTGGGAGGACAGCCTGTGCTCTTAACCGCTGAGCCATCTCTCCAGCCTCTATCTTAATTTATGGGAGCATTTATTTCTTTTTTAATTTCATTTTACATTCCAACCAAAGTTCTCCCTCCCACATCTCCTTCCCTCTACGTTAAGGCTGAGCATGGCATCCCACCCTAGGGAATGGGCTCCATCCAACAAGCTAGTTCATGCACCAGGGATAGATCCTGGTCCTACTGCCAGAGGCCCCTCAAATAGCCCAAGCTTCACAACTGTCTCTCACATGCAGAGGGCCTAGTTCAGTCCCATGGAGGCTCCACAGCTGTCAGTCCAGAGTTCATGAGTTTCAACAAGCTTGGTTCAGCTGTCTCTGTAGATTTCTCCATCATGATCTTGACCTCCCTTGCTCATATGTTCCCTCCTCCCTTTCTTTGACTGGATTCCCAGAGCTCAGCTTGGTGCTTGGCTGTGGATCTCTGCATCTGCTTCCATCAGTAACTGGAAGAAGGTTCTACCTTTTCTGGAGCTGTGGGTTGTAATCTGGTTATCCTTGCTTTATATCTAATATTCACTTATGAGTGAGTACATACTGTGTTTATCTTTCTGAGTCTGGGTTACCTCACTCAAGATGGTTTGTGAGCACATATTTCTTATGAGCCATTTTGTTGTCATACATACAATATAAAAATATAAGCATATGTAGACAAGTTTTATACTCACATAGCCATACACAGATTTAAATATAAAATGTTATAGCATTTACTTAGATTTATCATTTGTCAGTCATAAGCTAAACTGTTCATTTAATTATTGTTTTTATTTGTGGTGTGTGTGTGTGTGTTACATGTATATATACATATATATGCATGTGTATGTATGTATATGTGTATATATTTACATATATATATCCCAATAAAAACATTCATGATTTAAAATCCTTTCTCACTGAAAGCCTTTACATTTCTGTTACACTTCCTACTAAAAATGCACCCTTAGATCCTGAGTATTTGCCACCAAGCTTGACCACCTTAGTTAGGTCCCTGAGACCAACTCCTGGAAGAGATGCAACTCCTGGAAGTTGTCCTATCAACTCCACAGGTGTGCTATGGCACTGGAGGTCCCTCTCCCCACCCTTCTCCCTCTCTCTGCCTCTCTGCACCCTGCCAGACATATAAATAAATAAGTAAATACATGTAATTTAAAGCAAGAAGAAAAAATCTGTCTTTACTTGTATTTGTTTTAACATATGTTTAACATTCATATTCATATTCATATCTCTCCTCCCTTCTGGATTCTTTTTCTTCAGTATCATCAAAGCAAAATGACCTGTTAAACAGAAGTTACCACTCAATTCCCGTTTATGATATAATGGAACAAGTGAAAATTTTCTTCTCACATATGGTCAAACTATAAGGCTCTGTCTGCTGCTCAGCTCAGACTTTGTCATTTGGGTTTATTGCTGTTTTTTCATGTTTTTTAGTTTACATTTTATTTAGTCATTTATTTTACTGAATGCTGTGTATGTTGTGTGCTGTGACATGTATGGAAGTCAGAACAGCATGTGGCTTCTGGGGAGGGGGTCACACTCAGGTTGTCAGACTTGTTGACCCACCCATTTTGCAGACCTACTATGTTGTTGTTTGTTGGGTTTTTGTTGTTGTTTTGTTTTTGGTGTTGGTGTGTGTGTGTGTTCCAAAAGTCTTGCTTCAGGATTATTTGTGGGATATATAACCCAGAGTAGCCATGAACCTTAAATTCTCCTGCCTCAGTTTCCCAAGTTCTGGGATTATTTTTTCTTTAAAGATTTATTTACTTTAATCCCAGCACTCAGGAGGCAGAGGCCAGTGGATCTCTGTGAGTTCAAGGCCAGCTTTATCTACAAAGTGAGTTCCAGGACAGGCTCCAAAGCTACACAGAGAAACCCTATCTTGAAAAACAAAACAACAACAAAAAGAGATTTATTATGCATACAGTGTTCTGCCTGCATGTATGCCTGCACACCAGAAAAGGGCACCAGATCTCATAACGCATGGTTGTGAGCCACCATGTGGTTGCTGGGAATTGAACTCAGGACCTCAGGAAAAGCAACCAGTGCTCTTAACCTCTGAGCCATCTCTCCAGGTCACTGGGATTATATTTGTCCATTATTTTAGTCTGACAGTAACTTTGAAGACTGAATATTTTATTATTGTCCATGGAGTAGAGGGAAATACATTGCATGTTCCCAAGTTGGTGCCAGTTTTTCTTGGCCTTATGTGTATAGGTGTTGTGATTTTTGTATGTGATATGCCGTCTCTACTCAATAGTCAGTTCCTCTGTCTCAAGATTGCTGAGGAAAGGCCTTCCTTAATGCAGTCTACTTGCCTGTCTGCGTTGACAGCTTAGTGCCCTGATTATTGTATTTTCAGTCTTTTGTTTATGTTAGGCAAGCTTTTATTTTCTTGGTTAAATAGTAAACTGTTAGACATTGACTTCAACTACTTTGATAAAATAGATTTGTTATATTCCTTAGTTATTTTTCCTCTAGCTGTGATTAAATAAAAATCTGACATACAAGCTAAGGGAGAAAGGGTTTCCTCTGGCTCACAGATAGAGTACGGTCTGCCATGATAGGGAAGTCAGGGCCACAGTCAGGTAACAGTAGATGCTCATGGCATCCAGTCAAGAAACAGAAAATGATGAAGAAATGCTGATTTTCAGGTTACTGTCATCATTTTCTACAGTCCAGAGTCCTATACCTAGGGAATGATCCCATGCACATCAAAGTGGATATGACATTGCACTGGGGGCAATTTTTCAGTTGAGGTTACTTTTAGCTAGTGCCAAGTTGACCTAAAACTAGCCAGCATACTGGTCCTCACAAGAGCAACAAGTGTTTCTGATCCCCAAGCTATCTCTTTGGCTCCCTTAAAAAGAAATCTTGGGGGAGGATAGCCTATTTTGCCTTATAGTTCCAGGATGGAGAGCATCATGGCTGGAAGGCATTGCAGAAAGAGCTTGAGGTACCTTGTGACATTGCGTTTCTCATCAGGAACTAGATGCTGGTTCTCTAATCTCTGTGTTCTCTGAATATATTGCTTTCTAACCTGTGTCTGATGAACACTTAAAAACATTACAGGAAGTCTGAAAGAAAATAGATATTGTAAGAGTAGCTAGCGTGTGATTAATATCACCTGTCGGGAAAGCCACTTCCTTCTTTACAATTGGGATAGGGGAAGAATCCCTCTGGATAGCAGTTGCAAATACCAGGAGAAGTAAAATTGTCTTCTGAATTACTAAGAACTTGCAGTCTTGGGATAGCTGGTGTTGACTCATATGAGGCATTAGGTAATCAGAATTCATTGTAAATGTTGAACCAGTGTACAAAGAGAGGTTAGCACAACCTATTTGTACAAAGATGGACCTATCCTGTTGTTGCTTTACCAGATGGTTCCAGTCTATTGTCGAACTACTGTGTGAGAGATTCTTAGTGTGTGTGAAATGTAAGTGTGATGACCAAGGTATGACCTAAATGCACATACAATATTGAATCTTAGCAACTTCTTATGAATTAAGATTAGCTGTCCAGTACTAAGAGACTCACACTTCCTTGTGGAAATGTATATGGGCTTTTAGGAGTCAGTAACCTTTGAGGATGTGGCTGTGAACTTCTCTCTGGAGGAGTGGGCTATGCTGAATCCATCCCAGAAGAACCTCTACAAAGATGTGATGCAGGAAACTTTGAGGAACCTAGCCTCTATAGGTGAGTATGTCATCATTCTTTTAATTAGTCAATCAGAGAAAAAGCTTCTGAATGAGTGTGATATGGTAAACATTAGGTGATGTGTGAGATGGATCTTTTTTTTAATTTTAGTTTTTATTTTATGTGCATTGGTGTTTTACCATGGGTGTCCAGTTCACTGGGACTGGAGTTACAGATATTTGTGAACTGCCATGTGGGTGTTGGGAATTGAACCTGGGTTCTCTGGAGGAGCAGTCAGTGCTCTTAACTACTGAGCCATCTCTCTAGCCCCCATGAGATGTATCGCTTTTTTACTGTACATTTTGCTAGAATCTATTAACATATTTACTGTGATGTCATAATTTATAATGATTTCACTTGGTTTGTGTTTTAGGAAGCAGTTTGGAGCACCATATCATTGAAAATATATACCGAAATTCCTGGAGGAAACTAAGGTAATAATGGACCTCGAGAAATAGCCATGCTCCTTAAGAGTGTGTGGTTGCACATTGTCCAAAGGAGTAAAAGACACATATATATTCCGTTTCAAACTCAGTTGCTCTCAGGAAATTTTCTTTAAACTGGAGACATTAAACATCAACATTCTGAAAACCTTATAAGGATTCCAGTACTGGAAATAACTGGAACATCTTGATGCCTGAAAGTGATTTTTTTTTTTTATCATACTTGATATGCTCCATACAATATTGTTAAAATTTAAGTAATGGTTTACCCACAGACCTTATGTATAAGATATATACAATACATATGACAGATATCTTTTTAGGCTTGGACTCAAAATCTCATTGTAGCCTTTCAGGTAGTTCAGAATGTAACATCATTTGTATGGTATATCAAAATTGTACAGTATTGAGAAGTAGATATGTTGTTACTGTTTTACAGATCCACCTTTATTTTTTTCATTCATCTTGCTCTATGAGGGGTACAGGAGCACTTGGATTCCGTGTCCAGTGGCCTTTGCAGCAAGTTTTCTTCACAGTTTGGCAACATGCCACTATTTCTTGAACCTGAGTTACCTTCCCCAAATAACTGCTAGTGTTGTTTCCAGGAGTCACTGTGTTGTTTTATGCTTTATACATATAAGCACATCTCTTGCTTAAGTAGACTTGGTTTCATCTTGGGCATAAACTCCTTCAATTTTAAGAAAAGCCATGTGCCTTCTTTGGTTTTAGAGACCTCATTTATTATAGTCAGCAAAAATGGCCTTGCATCAACAGCCTTCCAGACATACTTGCCTTTTAGAAGTCCTGTTTCTAGTAGGCCTTTTCAGGTACCAAGATAGCATCAAGAATTGATGCCATCAGTTCTTTAGTGTGATGTAAGACATGTTTGCTAGATATGTAGATGGTATAATACAGCCACCGTTGAATGTCACTGCTTTTGTGACAGTTGTCCTCAGAGTTGCTGAGAACATTCAAGCAAATGCATTAAAATAGTCGGTGTAGAAGCAACATTTGTACTGATGAGTAGTTAATAAAATATCAATGATACACGTTTGCTTTTTTGCAGTGGTCAAGTGGTGGAGGGACTTTATGACTATAAAGACGACCATCAGTGCACAGAAATCTTTGACTTCACTACACATAGTATTGTAAACCAGAACCCTTTTCCAGGAGTACATATATGTGAAAACAGTGGATGTGCCAGAGTAGTCATTGGCCATTTGTCTCTAAGCGTGCTCCTTAAACCTGACACAGAGCATGAATCCTATGAAGATCGGGAATATGGAAAAGAATCGTACAACAGTATGGAATTTGGGGCTACCTCCAGTTCTCTCCCGTCCTTTGAGCACTATGGAAGTACTTACACTCTAGAGAGACTGTATAAAAGTGAGAATTGTAATGAAGACTATAGGTTTGGTCAAAATCTTGAAAAGGCTTTGGCTGAAGAGAAGCCCTTTCAATGTAAGCAATGTGGCAAAGGTTTCAGTTCTTCAAGGTACTTCCGAAGGCATGAGCGACGCCATCGTGCAAAGAAATCCTATATATGTAAACAATGTGGGAAAGCATTTGCTTTTCCCACCTACCTACAAACACATGAAAGAATTCACACTGGGGAGAAGCCCTATGTGTGTGTGCAGTGTGGGAAAACCTTTGCACATTCTCGTTCCCTTAAAACCCATAAAAGAACTCACAGTGTGAGGGACCTCTTTGTATGCAATTACTGTGGGAAAACCCTACGTCATTATAGTTCTCTTCAAATTCATACAAGAATTCACACTGGAGAGAAACCTTATGTATGTAAACCATGTGGCAAAGCCTTCATTACTTACCGTTCCTTTCGAATCCATGAAAGAATTCACACTGGAGAAACGCCTTACGAGTGTAAGCAGTGTGGGAACACTTTCATGCGTTGGATTCAACTACGAAAACATGAAATAATTCACAGTGGTGTGAAACCCTATGCTTGTAAGCTGTGTGGGAAAAGTTTTACTTGTTCTGGTTCCCTGAGAACGCACGAAAGAATTCACACTGGCGAGAGGCCCTATGTGTGTGACCAGTGTGGGTATAGCTTTACTCGGTTGAATTCCCTCTTAAGACATAAAATAACCCACACTGGTGAGAAGCCCTATGTGTGTAATCATTGTGGGAAAACTTTTCCTCGTTCTGCTTCTCTTCAAAGACATGTAAAAATTCACACTGAGGAGAAACCCTTTGTATGCAAGCAGTGTGGGGTTGCCTTCGCTACTTCCACTGACCTTCTAGAACATGAACAAACTCACATTGATGAGAAACCTTACATATGTGAGCAATGTGGGAACGCCTTTGTGCTTTGGAGTCAGTTTCAAAAACATAAAGCACTTCACAGTGTCCCAGTTTCCTATATCTGTAAGCAGTGTGGGAAAAGCTTCACTTCTTCCAGGTCATTGAAGACGCATGAAAGGATTCACACTGGGGAGAAGCCCTATGAGTGTAAGCAGTGTGGCAAAACCTTCCTTTGGTCTTACTCCCTTCAAAGACATGAAAAAACCCATAGTGATGGAAAGCCCCATGTGTGCAAACAGTGCGGGCAGGCTTTCCCTTATTACAGTCATCTTCAAGTGCATGAAAAAATACACATTGATGATGAGCCTTACAATTGTAAGTACTGTGGGAAACCCTTCTTCACCTTGAACCATTTGCATAGACATGAAGTACTTCACACTACCCTGGATTCCAGTGTTTTTTAATAATAAAGAAAAAAATGGCTTGGTAGCTTTGAAAGAAATAAGCAAAACCACACTGGTGGGGGGAATACTGGATTTGTGCTAGCAATTCAGAAAAACCTTTTGTTTTGTTTCATTGAAACAAGCATGAAGCGCCACAATGGAGAGAAACGTTTTTTCAAAAATCAATGTGCAAATGGCTTTTTGTGCTTCAAGTTCCTTGAAGTACATGAAAGAGCAACAGGCCTGTGACTGCAAGTGATGCAGTGAAGCCTTCTGAAATCCCAGATCATGGAGGATACATGAGAAAGAGCACTCTAAAGAAACTTTTTACTTGTATATGTGGTGTTGTAAATAACCCTTCACTTCTTCCCCATTCCCCCGGAACACATGGAAGGAGTCACTCTGGAGAGAAACCCTTCACATATAAGCAATCGTGGATAGTCTTCAGTTATCATCACTTCCTCTCACAGACATGAAAGAACCTACTGTAAAGAAATCTTAGAAATAGGACTTGTGAACTCTTCATTGTCATCCTGATAGCACTCACAAGAATGGACATGGGGAGAATTCATATCAATGGAGAACCGATATGAACACCACTTGGTTAAAGTAACAGATAAGGAAAGAACCTGATATGAAGTGCTGATTTGCTTGAAAGAGATTTCATTTGGCACACATGGAAACACACACCAGATGAAAACCTTTGCTGTTGAAAAACATTAGGAAGTCTAGAGCAGTAGTGACTATAGGAAAAGTCCCTTGAGATCTTTTCATGTTTAATCTGATGTCAGAGTTATGAAGGACTGGACATACTAGGGTTTTGTTTTGTTTTGTTTTTTTGTTTTCTTTCTTGTAGCATGCTCCAGGAAATGCATACTCTGAAGAGAATGTTATCAGTACAGGATTTTGTATTTATTGGGAAATTTCAGAGGCACATAGGGGTGGCTTAGCCTTTGAGAGCATTTGCTGCTCTTCCAAAGGACCTGCACTTGTTTTTCGTTACCAGATCACAGGGCTGGCGACTGCATGTGACTCCCGTTCCAGGCGATCCAGTTCTTCTCACACACCTGACATAGATTCACATAAGAGTAAAATTTAAGTTTTTCTCAACCTCCCCTCCCCCAGGAAAGCTATTGCTGTGTATCCCAGGTTTATCTGGAACTGGTAATCTTCCAACTTCTAACTCTTGAATGTTTAATGAAAGGTGTCTGCATCCATATTCACCATCATTAACTCCTGTTTCAGAGTTCATCTCTTGACTGGTTTCTAAATTTTAAAAGTAAGCCTAGAGCAAGGGCATTGTGTAATATGGATTGCAGCTTAAACCTAGGAACTGGAGACCAGTAAGACCTACATATGAAAAAACTAGAAAGTGGATTTTATTAAATTATTTTGTGAGGTTTCTTAAAGCAATCATTTATTAGTTTAATGAGTGGTGTCTTTTTGTATCAATTAAGGTAGGTGCTTTTATTGTAAATTATGTTGGATTTGTTGGTGAATTGATACTTGAAATGTGCCAGTCCTCATAAATATCTTTAAAAAGCATTTTAGTATTTATGTATGTCTGAGTTTGAGAGAGAAAGACATAAGAGAGTAGGTTTGTACCAGTGGAAGCCTGAAGACAATGTATCTTTTGAGCTAGCAGTACAAATATCTGTGACATGCTTGATGTGTGTGGTGGAATCTAAATCCTAATCATCATGATAGAGCAGTAAATACTCTTAACTGCCGAGCCATCCCTCATGCCCCTGCATAAATGTCTTCTTTTTCAATCATGTTTAATGGGTTAAAAATATGACTTTGTGAATATCGGAATAGTGCTATTATTTTCATGTGGCTGATTTTGAGTATAGTCTTATTTTTCATGAAAAAAAAAAACACTTGAGTGTACAAATGTGTATTTCGAACATTGTTTATGTGTTGATGGTATGGTTTATGTGTTGGTGGTGTTCACAAGGTGAACAAAGTAATATATTGGGTGTCTTATTCTGTTGCTATATTATTCCCCCAAGACAGGTCTCACAGATCCTAGAGCTGAGCAGTCAGCTAGGAAAACCCAGCATTTCCTGTCTTCACTCCCTGTGGTGCTGGGTGTACAGACACAGTCATTCCCAGATTTTTGTTGACAGGGAATAACGCTCGAGTCCTCATGAGTGCACAGCAAGTGCTTTTACCTTCTCAGCAACCTTCTCAGGCCTAAACTGCTTTCAAATTGATTTTGTCTCTTGTGTTTCTGTTTCTCTGTGATGTGTTCTCATAATCTTTGAGTACTTGTTCTTTCAACTTTGAAGTATTTTCAAAATACTTTTAGAATAGAAAGTTCTAGGATGTGTTTAGTTTTGTTTTTCCTATTCAGAAGGTAGGAATAAGAGTATTGTAATCATAGATCAGAGCACTTTTCCAAGTTGGCTTAGTTTTTACTTATTTCATACATGTATACAATAAAAGACGATCGTATGTACCCACTATTTCTCCTTCCAACTCTCCCTGTATTCTCCCTAATGCCCCTCTTTTATGTCTTTTTAAATAACCCATTAGGTCTGGTTAGTCTATACATGCATGGGTATGGGACCACCCGCTGTAGGATGGGTGACCTACCAGTAGTTCCATCTTTGCAAATGATTCTCCACACCCCAGCAGCCATTCACTGCCAGTAGCTTCTCAGTAAGTGGTGGGGCCTGGAGATAACCTGTCTACCCATTTATACTGGGATTTTTGGCTTGCTTAATTTTATAGGTCTTGTGCATGCAGCCACAGTTGCTATGAGTTCCTGATTCTAGTAACCATGTCAAAAAAAGAAAAAAGCCAGCATTTCACAGCAATCCTCCCCAACCTTTAGTTCTTGCCTTCTTGTTGCTTCTTCTTTGGCTTTCCCTGAGCCTTGGCGGTGGTAGTAATTAATAGCTGTCTCATTTAAAGGTGAACATTCAGTATGTCTTAGCACTTTGGTCAGCTATGCATCTCTCCACTGACAGCTGTTCACTGTAGAAGGAAGCTGCTCTGACCAAAGTTGAGAGTAGCCAGTGTCTGTTGGTGCCAAGAGCTGAGTAGATGGCAGAAACCTGGGGGGGTGGGGTTGGAGATGATGTCATGCTACATAGCCTTGGAACTCTATATAGGCCAGGCTGTTGTCAACTTGTGTTTAGTTTTGTTTTATGTCATGAACTATTATCATATCTATGTGATTATGGAATTTCACTGTATGAATTTTGTTTTCTTGTATATTTCATTCTCATTGTAATTTCTCTAGTAATTATACTAAAGGATATATTGGTATTACTGCCTTCTTGCCAAAAACTATGTTCAATAAATTCTACTAACTCTCTCCATACATGACAAGTGAGTGGCTCATCTGTAAAAGCATTCTCCATAGAGTTTCTGACAGGACTGGTGTTTTATTTTGGGGGTCTTACAAGGATTGATTCTGTAGTTAGATGTCCCCCAATTTGGATGCACTGGGGGGCAAATGTAATTCTGCTCTTGTAATCACAGTAGTAGTTACCCAGAAGATAAAGGGGGATGCAATTCATGTGCTAGCCAGTCCATCAGAGAGTAGAAGGTACTTTGATGATTCAGAATGTTTTACGGTTTTTCAGCTTACAGATGTTCTTATGGAGTGCCCTTCTGTTATAGTCATTAAGGAACATTTCTCATTGGTGGAGACTTGCAGCATGTCCTTCAGTGGCAGAAAATGTGGTCTTGCTGTGTGAGGTGAACTAGTGTTTGGATTATTTTTGCATTTCTTAGTTTCTATGTAAACACTAATGTTTAATCTGATGGATGCAGTTATCCACCTATATAGGTTTCCATGGGAGTACATTATGATAAGCCCATAGTAAAGTGAAAAATATAAGAAAAGCACTTTATGCTCAACCTGTTGATCATCAAACCTTAACCTAGCCTATACCAACATTTTTGGGCCCACTTATATTTTCCTAAAGTTGGCAAAAGTTTCTTTTTCTTCATGTTTAAGTTTTTTAATGTTTTAAAATTGTTAGTGTGTATGTTGACATACTTAAGGTTTTGTCGTGACATTATGACCCAGGTTTCCATGTACTTTAGCCATAAGCACTGTCCCTTGTTCCCTTCCTTCTCCCCAGTGGTCCCATTCTCCCTAATAAACTCACTTACAGTTTCATCTTTCTTGTTCATTAAAAATCTGGATCCTGTTTTGTATCCAGGGAGCACCATTTGGGGCTGAGTAACCATTTATGTGATGGTTCTTAGTTCCATCCATTGTCTGTCAAGTTTCCTGTTAAGTTCTCGGTGAGCTAGTACAGTCTACATTTTATGTATGCCACATTTTAAAATTTTTAGTTTATCTATTGATGGGCACTTTGGCTGATTCTGTAATTGAGTACTATGAGTAGTAGTGTATGAACGAGTATACAAACATGCATGGTATGATTTGACTTAGATCCCTTTTGCTACACATTAAACAGTAGCAAAGTAGGACCATAAAATAGTTATATTTGGAGTTCTTGATGAAATACTACTATTTTCCAGAGTGACCATGCTAAGGTGCATTTCCAGCCCTACAGTCTCAACAGCTTGTGTTTTAGTTTGGTTCCTTGATAGCTAATCACATTGAGGTGAGCGTAATTGTATTGAGAATTTTCATGATTTATTGGCTATTTGTACGTTGTTTGAGAACTGATTGTTTCCCCATGTATAGATTCGGTCACGTGTTGGTTTGTAGTGTGTGTGTGGGGGTGGCGTGTGGTGTGTTTTCTGTACATTAATCCCTTGAAAGATGAATGAGTATCCAAAGATATTTTCCCCCATTCTGTAGATTTCTCTGACAGTTGTTTCCATTTTCTGTGTAAAAGTTCTTTAGCTTCTTGCAGTGACTAAATCCCATTTATACCCTGGGGTTTTTTGTTTGTGTGTCTTTAACATTGCTTCTTGCTATGGAGACCTGACTGGTCTGGAGCTTGCTGCCCACGCCAGGTTGGCATCTAATTTACAGCAGTCTTCCTGCCTCTGGTTCCTGGGCGTTAACATTGTAATCATGGGCCTTTAAGGCCCATTTCCTATTTGCCATTCTTCCTGTAAATTATTAGATTCAGAATGCCATTATCTGTGCCCCTAGCTTCATGTATTCTTTAGATTTTCCTCTATGAATTTCAGATTTTTTAGACCTATGTTAAGGTCTTTGGTTCAGTTTGAGTGGCTTTTGTACAGAATAATAGAGGGATTTAGGGATGTTCTTGTATATATGGTTCTGTTTTCCTTGTTGAAGAGGCCATTCATTATACTGTACATGGTTTGGATGCCTTTGCTGAAGTCAGAAGGCTGTGGCTACCTGGTTGTTCTGGGACTGAGCTCTTCCATTGCTCTATGTGTCTGTTTTTAAGTTACGCTGTTTCACTATGGTTTTATAGCATAATTAGCTGAGTGTTGTGATAACTCTAGCTAACATTGCTCTTTTTGCTCATTGTTGCTTTGACTATTTGGGGTATTTTGGCTTTCTTACAATTATAGGATTGTGTTTTGTATTATTGTAAATAATGGCATTGGAGCTTTGATGACGATGAAGAACACTTTACACTTTTTCATATAATAACGGTGCTGATTTGTGAGCATAGGAGTGTTTTCCGTTTTCCAGAGCCTTCAGTTCTTCAGTGTTTTTAAATTGTCATTATATTTTCCTTTCACTGGCTTGACTACCTATATTCATAGGTGAATTTGACTTTTTGTCTTGTAACTTGTTTCCTTGGCTTTTGGAAGATGATTTTTTTCTTGATTATTTTATCACCATTTCCATTGTCATATAAACGGTTACTGATTTTTCTATGCTGACTTTATTGTACTAGTTTGCTGAAGTAATGATCAGATGCAGAGTCTTTTGGTGTGGCGTTTTGGGCTAGAGAGATGACTCAGCAGTTAAGAGCCCTGGCTCATCTTGTAGAGGCTGGGGGCCTGCACCTACATGGTAGCTTACAATTGTAACTCCAGTTCCATGGAACCCAGCTCCCTTTTCTAGTCTCTGGGCACTAGACGCACATGGTATACAGACATGCATGCAGGCAAAGCACCCATGCAGTATAATAATAGTTTTTTAGAAGATGATCATATTGTCTGCAAATAAGAGATTTGACTTCATTTCACTTCCTTTTTTCTTTCCTCATGTTCAGGGTGAACTGAGGAGCTTGTGAGTGGCAGGCAGGTGCTGGACCACTGATGGATGGATCCCTTTCCTTTCTTTTCTCTTACTTCTCCAGTTGAGAATTCAAGAGATGCATATAGCAGTATAGAGAAGGTGGACTCCTTTGTGTTATTCCTGATTGGTAAAATTGTCTTAGTTTTCCTGTCTGGTATAATCTTGGCTGTAGTTTTGGCATTTTTAACTTGTTACAGTGACTTGTGTTCCTTTTCAGAGTTTCTTCAGGACTTTATTATCAAGGAACATAGAACTTTGGACAAAGTCCACTGCTCCATATATTGAGGTGATCAGGGAATTTCAGTCCTTGAACATCAATGTTTTCTATTACATTTATTGATTTCTATCTGTGGAAACATGCTTATATATGAGAAATGAAATCACCCTGATCATAGCTTGTGGTATTTTTAATACATTGAGTTTGTTTTAAAATATAATTTTGTGTTGTGTGTGGGGGTGTTTTGTTTTGTCGTTTGGTTGGGTTTTTTGGTCTGTTTTCATCAAGGGAATTTGTGTGTGTGTGTGTGTGTGTGTTTCTGTATTGTTGAGTTCTTCATGGTTTTGCTATCAGGGTAATACTACCTTCCAAGAATAAAGTAGTGTTTCTCCCCCTTATGTTTGGTGAAATAGTTTAGGAAGCTTGGTTGAATTCAGTAGTGAATTCATCAAGTCCTAAGCTTTCCTTTTGGGGACAAAATTCATTTCTAGCTTAGTTATGTTGTCCTTTTACATTGCTCACATTCCCTTGATTTATTTTTCTTCATCAGTTCATTTTATTTTGCTATTGATTGAAAATTATATACATGCATATAATGCATTTTGATCAAGCCTACCTACCTTCCTTTCCTTCTAATTCTATTCTTCCAACACTTTTCCCTCTCCATTTCATGTGTTCTCTTCTATTTCTAACCTATAGAGCTTCCTTAATGCTGCCAGTGTGTACATGGGTGCAGGGCCATTCCTACCGTGGCATGAATAGCCTCTCTAAAGAAAACTAAAACTTCATCTCCAGCAGTCATCAATTGCCAGTAGCTACTCAGGAGTGGGGCTTTCTGAACCCCTCCCTCTATGCTGGGATTCTTGTCTGGATTGATCTTGTGTATGCAGTTAATATGTTCAACTGTACTGTTGTGTCCAGAACACACTGTTTGACTATAATAATCTACTGGCTCTTAGTCTTTCTGCTCCTTCTTCCATAGTGATCCCTGGTTCTGAGAGAAGGGATTTGATATAGATGTCCTGTTTAGGACTGAGCCCTCCAAAATCTCTTTATTTTCTGCGTGCTGACTAGTTGTAAGTCTGTTAATTGCTGTCTACTGCGAAAAACAAAATCCAGTTTCATGTTGAAGGTTGAGATAGATAAATGTATCTATGAGTGTTAAGATACCCAAAGGAGTTGGTTTTAGCACGATGTCATTTTAACAGAATAATAGTAGATTAGTAGAAAGTTCTCCACATTAAGGGGCTGGGCATGAGTTCCATCTTGTGGAGTGTGTGGAATGGGCCTTAAGCCTAGTCAAAAAGTTGTTGGTTATTCCCACAACATTCATGCCATACCCATGGTCATATCTTGTCAGACTGATGGTCATTTGTAGATCAGCGGGTTCTCAGCTGGGTACACTTGCCGTATAATCTGTAGCGGCACAGATTAAGATGTTAAATTAAACATAATTAAACTAGGTTAAATATATGTTAATTTTATTCGGGGAGAAGTCACTTACATAAGAAACCAATGACCGGCAAATTCTAGCTCCAAGGATCCAGGCTGTTCTCCATGACCCAACCGGAACCAAGAGAGAGCAAACCTGTCCCAGACCCCAGACCAAATACCACAAGCCCACATATACACCTGTGACCACGCCCATTTGGTGAGACTAGTTGGATCTCTCACTACAATAGTCTTCTCCCCTGGTGGTAGGAACAGCACCTTCCAGTACCATGAGAGCCAGCCAATGGGATGAAGCCTCTAGGTTAGTATAAACTTGACTTCTTCGTGTTCTGTGACTCAGTATGCAGTGTCTTTAGTAATAGGGTCTTACCATCAAGTTCTATGTGGTAACCAAGGACAATAGCAATAGTTTATAATATTGGGGGCATCTATGGGACTTCATCTCTTCACTTAAAATTTCAAAAGTATCTTGAAATGGTTGTTCTTGATTTTCCAGTTTATTGTGAAAGTATTAAAGTATCCTCAAATCGTTATCTGGATTTTATTTACTGTGTATTATAATGTCTCTCTCTTTCCAACTCTAACTTTATTCATATGAATAAAATGTAAGATAATAAACAATGAAGTACTTAAAGTTTTGTAAATATTATGACTGCCTGAAAGTTGTGTAGGAAGCATCTGTAGGGTTGAATTGTTTTTGTCTTTTTTTTTTTTTTTTTTTTTTTTTTTTTTTTTTTTTTGAGTGACCACCCTTTCTCAGTGTACTTTTTGGTGATGCAACTGACTTTGAGTCACGCATACGCCTGTAAGTAACCCCTCATTCATACTCCTGTAAGTAAATCTCAATAAAATCATTGTTCTCCAAGTTGGTCTTTGGTGGGGTCATTACTTTGGTGTGATGCTGGCTTCTTATCCTTACTAAGCAGTCATTTGTTCATGTCTGCCCTGGAACTGCCACATTTTCTCTAATAATGGAATCTTCCAAGGAGGAAAAATGGGAGTCCAAGCAGGAGCTCTTGCCATTCTGTCTTTTAAAGCTGTTGCATGGCTGCTGAGGACAACCCCCCCAAAAGTTATCTGTTAGACCTGCATAATGGCTCAAAGCGTAAAGACACTTGCTGTGAGGTCTGAAGACCTGCATTTAATCTCTGGGAACCACATTGTGGAAGGAAAAGCCCACCTCCACCTCTTCTTCCTCTTCCTCCTCCTCTTTTTGATTTTCAAAGTCTGCCTTTTTTTGGGGGGGGGGTTCTCTGTGTAGCTTTGGAGCCTATCCTGGCACTTGCTCTGGAGACCAGGCTGGCCTCGAACTCAGAGATCTGTCTGCCTCTGCCTCCTGAGTGCTGGTATTAAAGGTGTGCGCCACCAACACCTGGCCCGCTTTTTGATTTTCAAGACAAGGTTTCTCTGTGTAACAACCCTGGTTGTACTAGAACCTGATCTGTAGACCAAGCTGGCCTTGAACTCACAGAGATCCGCCTGCCTCTGCCTCCTGAGTGCTGGGATTAAAGGAGTGCACCACCATTGGCTGGCTGGCCTCTGCTTTTTAAAAACACTTTTACTATTAAAGCTAAAGCTAATGAGGACGGAGGAGATGGGAAACTGACCATCCCCAGAATGTGGGCTCGGGTTTTAGTCTCACTCAGTCACAAACCGTGTGTGCCAGAAGGGCAGCTTCAGAGGGGTCAATACTTGATGGCTGTAGGTTTGGATTTATAAGATCTCACAGTAATACTCAGGCCAACTTATCCATAGTCCATGAGTCCCTTTTCAAGGTGGTACCATGAGGGAAAACTAATACATAAAAGCCCTACCATCAAGCCTGATGTACATGTGCACACATACTAAGTAGACATAAAACATAATTTAAAAGAAAAATTCATCACTGTTCATATGAGCCAGTCCATAGAGACTTTATGTCCCTTTGTTCCTACTGGTTAGGAAGTCTGTCCTAAGGGAGAATGGGTAGTTCTATTTCTCAGTTTCTCCACTCCAGATTGACTTAATCTGATCTTGTCTGTCCCAGAATGTGAGAGGCTTATTCACCTTGCAAAGTTCTCCCCCATGGATGGAGGGACCCATCAATCCGGAGGAGGAAGGCTGTTGTATGTAGACCAGGTTCCAAGGTCCCTGCAGGCAGAAGGAAATGCCAGGAGAGCCTTCCCAGCCAAAGAGCCAGTGTAATTGGAGGCATGTCTCCTAGATCATTCTTGGTTCTGTTGGTAATAACTAACCATTGTCATAGCCAATCTTGGTTATCAACTTAACTACATCTAGAATCAGCTAAAACCCAAGCAGCTGTGTACACCTGTGAAGAATTTAATTGTATCATATGGGTCAGAAGACCCACCTTAAACTAGGGTCACACCTTCTTGTGGCAGCCTACATGAAAGGATTTAGAAGAAGGAAGCTTTTTGCTTTTTCCTACTTGCCCTCATTTTCACTGGTAAGTTCATTTCTTCTGCTGCTATTTCACTGATATGAGAACCTGCTTCTTCAGGATTCCAATGTAGACTGGGGAACAGCTCAGATACCTAGCCATGTGGACTGAACAACTACCATATTCTTGGGCTTTCTGTTGTGTTCCTTTAGAGAATACTGACCACTACAACTTTTACTGTTGAAAAGTTTACCTTAGAAGTTCTAGAATGCTGCTCATATCTGTGAAAGGTGACATACTGTTGCATTAGAGCTGTTCTGTAGAATATGTGCATATGCACCGTCCTTTCCCTTGTTTTACTCTTCATTGGCATTTCTCTCATAGAAACAATGATAGTGGGGCCTGCAAGATGCCTCAGCTTATAAATGCACTTGCTGCCAGGCGGTGGTGGCGCACACCTTTAATCCCAGCACTCAGGAGGCAGAGGCAGGCGGATCTCTGTGAGTTCGAGACCAGCCTGGTCTCCAGAGTGAGTGCCAGGATAGGCTCCAAAGCTACACAGAGAAACCCTGTCTTGAAAAACCAAAAATAAATAAGTGCACTTGTTGCTTGAAATTGTAAATCCTATGAACTGAATTCAATCCCAGGAACTTCCATATAAATGAAAGGAGAAACTTCTGCAGACTCTACACAGTTGCCTTTTAGCCTTCACATCTGCACCCTAGAATGCATGAACCCACACATATTCATGCACACAACATAAATATAAATGGTTATGCTAATTTACTTGTGCAGTGACTTACCTTCAATCAGGCCTGTATAAGTTACTTGTCTCATCATTGTGACAAATGACTTAAAAAGAAAACATAAGTGAACAAGGATTTAATTTGGTTCAGTGTTCAAACACACAGACCATCATGACAGAGGAGGCATGGCAGCAAGGGCTTGAAGCAAAAGATAGTACTGTATCTGCAGTTGGGAAACAGAGTGGTCATGCTAGTGTTTATCTTGTTCTTGTCTTTTGTTTGTAGTTCAAGACCTCAGCCCAAGAAATGATGCTGCCCACATTTAAGGGAAAACATCTCACCTCAATTAATGTAACCAATGCATCTCCACACATACCTGGCGGCTTGTCTCCTGTCAAATTTAAAATCAATGTGTACCTTCTGTTGCTGTATTCAGTTTTCATGTGAAGTCCTCTGAATCTAGCAGTTCCCAGATACCAAGAGAGGTTAAAAAAAAAAAGTCTTTTTGAATTTTTTAAGAACATACAGTATTTGGGTCATTAGAAAACCCAGAATTTTATGACTTGTGATAGTGACAGTATACAAATAGAAGATAGCATGACCTCTGAGGTCAAGGAAGTCTAATTGTGCTGTTGTTTTAAGATAACTCCTATCTACTGTCAGAAGTGCTGTGTGAGAGAATCTTTGAATGTGCAAACAGTAGAAAGAATTTAACACATATGGAAAATAGTATTATTTCAACTTTTAATGACTTAAGCCTTGAGTTTCAGTACTATGAGGGTCATACCTCCTGTGAAAATGTATGTGGGCTCATTTAGGAGTCAATGACCTTTGAGAACATCACTGGAAACTTCACCCTGGAGGAGTGGGCTGTCCTGATTCTACCCCAGAAGAACCACCATAAGAGATGATGCAGGAACCTTGAGGAAACTGGCCTCTGTGGGTTAAGTATATCACCATTCCTTTAGTCGGTCAATTAGAGAAAAAGTATTTCTGCTTTTTCATTGCTGCTGCATGAACTGAAAAAATGCTTAAGAAACATCAGTGAATATGTCAGATGGGATTATTGTGTACTGATAATTTATCTGAAATCTATTGATATTTCTACTATAACATAATAATTCATAATGGTTTCTCTGGATCTGTATTTTAGGAAACAGGGAAACACCAAAACATTGAAGATAAGTACCAGAATCCATGTGCCTTGGGAGACATCCATGTTTCTTAAGGGCTATGTTGTGATCAGACATGTTACCATGAAATAGAAGATACATGTACATCCAGCTTCAAACTCAGTTAAGATTGGGAATTTTTGGAAAAACGGCAAACATGTTTAGCATCAGCAGAAGAGCATTCAAAATATTCCCATACAGGAAAACAACTGAACCATGATGCCAAAAATGATACTTCATCATGCTTCATATATATCAACTTTATTCCATAATGCAGTATTAAAATAAAAATAGTTATTTATCTAAAAGCCTTTGGTATAAGGTATATGAAACAAAAAATAAGTTTTTTAGACAGGGACCAGTTGTTAAGACATCTCATTTTGGACATAAAAAATTGAAAATGCAGCATGATTTTGGCCATTAGAGTGTATCAAATTGTACATACTATTGGGTATTAAATGTGACATAGACATTTTTGCCTGATGTGGAAGTAATATAATACAACCACTCATGAAAACCACTGTTTTTATTGGAGCTGTCCTCAAATAAAGTCACAGAACATTCAGACATGTTAAAAAATTCTCACAGCTCATGGAACCAATATTTCTACTAGTAAATCATTAACAAGGAAAATACAATGCACCTTTGCTTTCTTGCAGCAATCAACTAGTGGAGAAACTCTGTGGGTGCAAAAAAGGTTATCAGTATGCAAAAGTCTTCAACTTCTCTACTGAGGGTATTGTGAATCAGAACTCTTTTTGTTGTTTGTTTGTTTTTCCAGACAGAGTTTCTTTGTGTAGCCCTGGATGTCCTGGAACTCACTCTGTAGACCAGGCTGGCCTCAAACTCAGAGGCCACCCTCTGCCTCCTGAGTGCTGGGATTAAAGGTGTGTATTACAACTGCCCAGCTCATACTTTCTTTTAAAAATTTTATTTATTTTTACCTTAAATGTGCTTTGGCTTTTTGCCTGCGTGTATATCTTTGTTGAGGGTGTTGGACCCCTGGAAATGGAGTTGCAGACAGTTATGAGCTATCTTGTGAGTGCTAGGAATTGAACCCTAGTCCTGTGGAAGAGCAACAAGTGTCGTCTCTCCTGCCCTGTAAGTCAGAACTCTTACCCATGAGTACACAGATATTGAAAGCAATGAGTATGAAAAGTAGTTTTGGCCATTTATCTCTACGTATACACTTTAAACCTGACACAGGGCACAGATCATATGAAGATCAGGAATATGGAAAGAAACTGTAAAAATAAACACTGTGATAAATAAAGTCTCCAGATTTGGTGAAAATTATGAAAGGACTTCCACTGAAGAAATATGTAAGCAATATCAGAAAGTTTTCAGTTCTTTCAGGTCTTTTCAAAAGCATGAATGACATTACCATGCCAAGAAATCCCATGTATGTATGTATGTAAGCAATGTGGGGAAGCCTTCGCTCATTCCCATATCCTACAAAGACATGAAAGAATTCAAACTGGAGAGAAACCTTATGTATGTAAACAATGTGGGAAAGCCTCCACTTGTTCCAGTTCCCTAAAAACACATGGAAGAAGTCACACTGGTG